CAGGGGTGGGGGAGGAGTTCCCCTTCTGGGGGGTGGGGGTCCGCTGCTCGCTCGCAGTGAAGCAACGGCTGTGGGGTATGCTGGGTGCCAGCTGCAGCGCGTTTCTCAATGGTCCCTGCAACACTTCCTCCCCGGGCAGCCTAGGTTAGGGAGCCATCGAGGGACCCTGCCCTGCCCCTCCGGAGAAGCAGCCTCTCCCCCTGCACCACCTCCCTTCACCCAGGCCAGCTGGAAACAGGGCTGGAAAACCAGAGGGGAAACTGAGGCAGGCAAAGGAAAGTGGTGGCCTGAGGCTGCCACTGAGTTGTTGGAGGGGGCCCACCTCTTGCCTCAGCCCTACTGGGCGCTGGACACAGACTCTCCCGTCACCCTCACAACACCTCTGGAGATGGCTTTGGGCCTGAAGGACACATGGGGAAACAGGTTCCAGGCAGCAAGTGACCCGCAGAAGCCGTCGAGACTCAGACCCTTTCCCTTCTCAACCTGGTGGTCCCCAGGCCATGTCTGGCTAGCTCTTGACATGTTTTATTTGGCTGCAGGGAGTTTTTTTTTTTTGAGTTGGAGTCTCACTCCGTCGCCCAGACTGGAGTGCAGTGGCTGCTCCTGGCCATCGCAGCCTCGACCTGCTGGGCTCCAGCGATCCTTCCGCCTCAGTCTTCCGAGTAGCTGGAACTACAGGCGCGTGCTACCACGCCTGGCTGATTTTTGATTTATTGTAGAGATGAGGTCTCACCAAGTTGCCCAGGCAGGTCTCGAACCCGCGGTCTCAGGCAATCCACTCACCTCAGCCTCCCAAGGTGCAGGATTACAGGCTGAGCCACCGAGCCTAGCAAGTTTTGTTTTTGTTTTTGTTTTTGAGTTGGAGTCTCCGTCGCCCAGACTGGAGTGCAGTGGCCGCTCCCGGCCACCACAGCCTCGACCTGCTGGGCTCCGGCAGTCCTTCCGCCTCAGCCTTCCGAGTAGCTGGAACTACAGGCGCGTGCTACCACGCCTGGCTGATTTTTGATTTATTGTAGAGATGAGGT